TGACTCTGACTACTGAACTTATTGAGAGACTAGATTCCATTAAAAGGAGCAGAATGAATTCAGTGTTCAAAACCAATGGGCCAAAGCAGATCAAATCAGCCCTTCATTTGTGGCTTTTCTCCTTTTCCAAGATTCAAGAAATATCTGCATACCCCAGTGACAGAGCAGATGTGAAAAATCACCTGCTATGGACTTTTAAAGCCCAGCAGTCCTGTCACCCATTCAAAATCAATTCTCAGTTATTTCACTGCCTCAAACCCTACACAGACACTGACAGGGTTCTAGCAGAAGCTAATCCAGCCAAAGACCAGCTCAGCTATGCTGTAAGAATAGTTTGGAGACCATCCTGACTATTGCCTCACTTTAAAAAAAAAAATCACAATGACTGACAGCAAAGAAGTTACACGAGTCATTTCTAGAGTAAGTGCCAGAATTCTACATGTGTTTCAAATTACACTACAACACTGTACAACAAAGAAATATGCAGAAATTTTCCACTTGAAGTGAAGGTTAAAAATTAAACACTAACAAAGCTCTAACAGATATGAAACTCAACCTCATCTTAATGCAAAACTTAAAATGCCTGAGCTGTCCTACACTAGGAAAAAAGGAATAAATTAATCCAGTTGTTCACAAGAAAAAGCACAGTGGGCACTGTATGTACAGATTTTCACAGCACTCCCACTCTGCTTCAGTACTTACCCCCTCAACTCTTAAAATGACATTCTGTTTAGATTTAACTTTTAATTTATCATTAAATTAGGTAATAGGTATATTACCTATCCTCATTAGATTAGCGTTCACTATTGAGCTTCATTTTCTGCATCTTATTTAAACAAAACATTAACCAGGGTCTCCTAACAATGTGATTATACATGAAAACAAGTTGATAGATCAAAGAGAAGTCACATTTTTCCTTAAAGAAAAGATTTTTGAAGTAAACCTGATTTTTATATACACACATATATATATATTCAGCTTGGATCTCTCCAAAGCTAAGTAGGCAAACACCATTTTATTTTAAGCACCAGGCTTGACTTGATTACAAGGTCTGCTGCTAAGAGAAATTTTTAACCTGACTTGTAAATTATTTCAATTTTATGAGAATGGTGAGGATATGACTGGCACTGTGTTGAGTATGATCCACTTTGGATTAAAAGGTTTCTAAACCTTGAGTCATGAAGTTCACATATCTTCACTCAAAATGCTAATCATATAAGCATATTTTCAATTTATAGTAAATTTTTAAGTAGCTTGTGTATAGCTCTTCACAGCTGTAAAACTTGGTGGCTGCTGTGCGGCCACTCCTGTTAGACAGACTTACAATTACTGCCAGGAATGTCTTTACATTCTTCAGGACCTCCAAAAAAACATAATTTGGATCCTCAGGGGCTTTTTTGTTTTGTTTTTCCTTTACAATCAAAACTACATATCAAACATACATTTTTAAAGCAACACACTACTTTCCTTCCCCATCCTGTGTTATTCTTTCACTACTTGGAATGTCAGTTTGTTATATTTTTCATTTCTTTTGTTTTCCAGTAAGAAAAATGCAGACCTCCAACCACACAAATTCAGCATATTCAGCTAAAACATCACGAAGAAAAAAAAAATAAAATCAAGAGAGGCAGGACATCTTGCCCATCTAAGAAAACCTCCAAGCAAAGCAAGTGCTCCTTGTGTTCTTCGCAGCCGCATCCTCTGCTCCCCAAAAGGCAATTCAAGGGATTTGCACCAATTTGAACCAAAAGGTGACACTTTCCACTTCAGTCCAAACCAAGTTTATGGTGACAGCAGGAGTGCCAGTAGAGCCCTTGGTCAGGCAGGGATCTCTCTCCAAACACATCAGCAGGTTGGCCCCAGCTCCGTGCACAAAGCATTTCCCAGTGCACGTCCCTGCACATTTCAGTAATTCCGAGCAGTGGCAAAGCCACACAGAGCCAGGGCTGTAAGTCATAGTGGAGGGACAGGCAGCTGCAGAAGCCACCCCCTGGGTGGGCATGTTCCAGTGATCCAAGAGCCCATTTTCCTCCAAGGGCAGCACCACATGTTTGGGAGATGCTCTCACACATCCTCTCCCCTTTTCCAAGTCACGTTTCCATCTGACAGCTGAGACAGGCATGAGCTGGTCCTCGAGTCTGAACAACCAAAGTGACCTTCATGGGGGGCTGAAGGACACAAACCTCTACACATTATACCAATCATTTGTGTTGGGGAAAAAATATCCTAAATCTTTATTATTCTCAGATTTCCAACGCCCCAACAAAAAAAAAAATGCACAAGGATGTTAATGCTTTTCTGCAGTATTTAAGAAAAAAAAATTTACATCCCCAGGGGAAACTGAAAACAAATTTGTAAGAACAATTTAAACATAAATTTTCTTTTTTTGCAAAATATGCAAACTCCACACAGAAGAGCAGTGGAAAAATGCAAAATCAAGTTTATGGTCAGCTCATTAAGTTTTTTGAAAAGCCTAATAAGCAAATAATACAAGTCATCTTAAAAGACTTCTTTTTTTAATTTATAAAAGATTCCTTACAAATGTTCTACATGACCCTGTAAGCATTCACCCTTTTTCTTGCTCTTTGCTAAAACCTTCTTGCCAGCTGTGTCCTTCATTACAGCAACTCACAAAGAAAAAAAAATGCTGAAACCTAAAGCAGGTCTTGCAGAAGGTATGTTAAGGAATATTCAGAAAACTCGTTCTACTGAGTGTTTTGAAGATTTAAAAAATGTATTTTTAAGGGAAAAAAAAAAGTTAATAAATTATGCTACCTGAAGTGAATCCAAAGTCACCAGGTTGACAATTTTCTTTGCAATAGTTCTGGCTCCAGAAACTCAGATAACAGTCTGCACATTTGAAGGAACTATTTAGCAGCAATAAATGTCAGGCACAAAGTTATTAACAGGAAAATGAAAAGAGGGAGAAACTAGAATTAAAAAAAAATCCAGCTAAATACATTCAAAATCATAGGATGGTTTGGGTTGGAAGGGACCTTAAAGACCATGTAGTTCCAACCCCCCTGCTATGGGTAGGGATGCCACCCACTAGGCCAGGTGGCTCAAAGCCCCATCCAGCCTGGCCTTTTTATAAGTACAAATGAACAGGAAACTCAAAATCTTTAGCTGGAGAGGTTTACATTGTGCCCAGCTCTTCTGCCTCACCCAGGCAGCTGCATGCAGCTGCCTGAAGAGCCCCAAAGCAGGGACAGAGGCACATTAGTTAAGCATTCATCATCAACAGGAAATGCGCATGAGTTCATATAAACACAGAAACACAAATATATAAACCAACAGCCCTGCACGGTTTAAGGTATTTCAGACACCCCATGGAATAGGGCTGGAGCTGTGCTGGCTGGGAACCCACAGCATTGATGTATTTGTTTTGGAATGGCAAAGAGCCTCGGGACTCAGAGGAACTCTTCTGGTGGGCACCACCAACCCACCCAGCCAGCCGCAGCCACCCCGCGCCCCTCAGCTCCTCCACCACCTCCAGAGCCAAGCCCAACAAGCCTGGCTGCTCCTGCCCTCAGCAGGAAAATGGCACATTTCAAAGTGCCTCCAAGGAAAGACTGTGGCATTGTTGCAAGCCCTGCTCTGAATACGCTCCCACACGGATGCAACTGCAGGGTTTAAAGGGTTTTGCTCTGCAAAGTGTTGGGCTGCCCCAGAACTGGTGCCACTAAATGCAATGGAGATAGAGGACAGTGTTCCTGATGGATTTGGACACCAGCATTCATGGGGCACAGGCAAAGGGAATGCTCCCTGCACAAGGCATCTTTTTCTTGTTTGTCATGAGGCTGAGGGGGCCTCCAAGCCCCTCTCACACTGGAGGTCCCTCGCAGCTGTGCTCCGTCCAGACAGGTGGTGAAGGCTGAACCAGGCTCTGCCCACGTTTAAACTCCTAATTAATACTTGGTTGCAGAAGATAATAAAGAATTACAGGCATCAGGAGGACAGAGAAACAGTAAAAATGGAGACAGACTCACTTCAGACAGTTTTCACTGTCAGTTCTCACTTCAGTTTTCTGAAGCACCATCAGGTTGCTTATTTACCTTACTAAGTCTGTCTACCTCTGTCATTTCCTGGATGAGATGCAACTTCTCCCATGCCAGTGAATTAGATGGGATTCCTGTTTGGATTTCAGTGGTCTCCCAAACTGCACACTACATTGCCTCTACTTTGTTCAGTACTTTGTGGCTTCAGTTTTCCCAGATTGCACAGCCAAACATAAACTGTTATTTTTGTGAACTCTTTCTTGCCTTGCCAGCCTGCACATTCGTTCTGCCATGCAGTTTTCCAGGCACTGGAAGTGCTGATGACCTTGAGGGTCAGGCCATGGTGAGCTGGGTGACACTCCCCCAGTAGCTCCAGTTTTCAGATGGCATTTCAGCTACAAACACATCTCTAGAGAGCAGACACATCACTCCTGGACTTCCTAACTCCCTCACCCAGGCACAGAAGGCTCCCAAACTCCCTTTCAAACATGGATGCACACCACAACGCTGCCAAGCTGCTGGACCAGCCCTGCATTATATTTTTTGACAAAGTTAAGCTCTGTGCTTCATTTCTCACAAACACAGTTTGACTGTAGACAGCAGCCGACAAGTAAATCTACCCTTTTCCATGGCAAACAGCCCAACTTTAATATTTTTACTGGCTTACAGCTGGGTAAATTAAGCCCCAGATTTTTATTTATTTATTTTTTAATACCGTGCAACTGAAAATGAACAGCTACTTCACTATGACTGCCAAGGACAACCTTAAAAACACTAATGCAATCCAGTCCAGCTCTCAATAGATCTATAAAGGCAAGAGCACCAAAAATTTCAGCTTATCCACCCAAACAAAATGCTGGTTGGGCAGGAAGTCTAATATTTCGTTAAGATCCTTAAAAAAAGAAAAAGGAAAGGAAAAAAAGATCCCTGGCAATCTGAAGATGGTAACAATCCCAGCTACAATGCCATAAAATGGGAATTAAAATGCACTGATTTACTTACCCCAGCTTTCCCAACATTTCAGGCTCTGGAACTTGTGGTCCATATGTCTCCACTTGCAGAGGCTGATATTCATACAATGTTTCCTCTAACTTTTGAATGGGAGCTAATGAAATATGCTGACCCTGTTGAAAAAAAAAAAAGGTAAAATATTTCTACATATAATCAAGGTCAAGGTTTTGTTTTGACTTTTTTTATATGCAGTGTAAGAACAAGCATAACTTGGTCCAGACAAACACCCTCCCACTAAGAACATACTGTTCACCATACCACTCACTTCTTCATAATTTATATTTTTTTTACTGGGACCTGCAGATTGGAAGTGATGTTTCATCAGCTATAATTGTTTGGACAAGAAGGAAGGGGGAAGAAGCTTTATTCAGGGCAAGCTTACCATTAGAAAGTACAGCTGCTTCCAGTGTCACTAGCAAAATTATTATTAGACACTAATTTCATTTATCTGAAGTACTATCAAACAAATGTCTCTGAACAACCCTACTTGATTCTGTAATCAATGATTTCCTGAAAGCCCTAATTAGAAAGGGAAGCCACTTTCCTTTCTCTCCACAGGCTTTGTGAGCTCCCATACATAATGGCTCTCAAGATAGACTTTTACAGAGCAATACAATTAATTCATTCAGCAAATTCCCATTTGTTTCATAACTAAAAATATAGAAACACACAAACATTAAGCTTTCAATCCAGATGGTACTTTTGCAAGACCTTCAGACTGCTGAGAAACAACAAGACATTTGCACACCCCTCCCCTCCAAGTCCCTATCACTCGGAGCTCTCACAAAACAGGAGACTTGTGGCTGGGAAGGAGGGGGTCAGGAGGATATGAGATAGAGCCAAAGTTAACAGATGTTGCTGCGTGACATTCTACACTGATTTGTTGATCTTTCACACAGTTTCAATTTTCTACTGTATTCTATGGTGCTCACAAAAATTAGCAGCAGCAGCAAAAAGACAGAGCACCGTGAGCTGCCCCAAAACAGCCTGGCTTTCCCTGTAGAAATTGAGTTTCCCATCTGCAGAATGCAGGAATTTAGCAAAGTAGTAGTATTGTTTTTGTAGACATTTTGTCTGAAACAGGAGATGGGAAGCTTTCCATGGTGTAATGCCGTGTATAAGCCTGACTCCCACTGGTGATCACTTACTGAGCTGAGCTTCCCTGGGGCCACTCCTCTGAGCATCTACTCCCTCAAGTGGAAAATACAGGCTCCTAAAGTGGGACATTGGGTTAAAATTAACTAAAGAGGGGAATGAAGAAGTCTGTAGAAGGGGAAAGCTGTTAATTAAATTTGTGGTTGAAGACAGTGACCTTTCTGAATTTGGAGCAGAGATATTTTTGTTTAGGGAGTTGCAGAAAATAGCAAAGAAAACTGAAGACGTAAGTCCTTGAGAAGTGTTATCGTGGATCTAAGCCGATCTCTACGGAAATATCAGCAGCTCAAGTTTTCCACTGAAACAGCCCCTGTGTGTGTGATGAAAACAGAGTTTTAGGCTTTTTCTGCACTGCCTGGGGGACTGGAGAGGCCACTGCTGACACTGGTATGGGGACTGTGTCCTGGAGATGAGATGTGAAGGAAGTTCTCCAGTCAGCCATGCACCACTCCAACTCTCATGGCCAGCACATTTATTTCTGTGTTACAAACTATTGCTGCAACATTACTGCACATTTTTAAAAAGTAGGAAAATAAAGGTTAAAAATTCCACTTTAATCCCACTTCATGATATTTTAGGACATAAAAGCAGGGATTTCTATTTTCCTAGGAGCTGTCAATTTATAATCTATCCAATTTTATTAAAATATAGTACTTTGTAGCTACATTTATGTGGGCCTCTTACACGCATTGCAAGAGGTTAATGCTTAAATAAGGCTCTTACATTTGCATTTTTAGCAACATCTTTGTCTCTAACCAAACCAAATGGAAAGTCATAACAATGTTTTACATATGCACAACCTCATCTGGTGAGTGAAGAGTCTCACTCTTTCCAAATCCAAATTTTGTTCCAGCCATAGAAAAGAAATTTCGGTTTTGGGCAAAGATCAAAACCATGGTAAATACTTTGGGAAATTACTTCTGTGCAGAAAAAAAGAGAGAATCTCAGATTGCAAGCACCCCATCCCTTGAGGACACCACCAGAACAGCTGCTCACTGTCAGCACAGTTGCCACTGGTGCCTTCCTGACACTTTGTTAATGAGAGCAACTTCTGCCAGCATTGGCCAAGAGACACTGGAAGGCTCCCAACACACGGACTGGGATCATCACTGCCCTCCTTCCCCATCACCATTTATGCTGCTACAGATGTCCACCTCTGGAAGCTCCTGGGGGGACAGGATGAAAATTGTTTCCCCCTCTTTGTGGGGTTCCCAAGGTGCCTGAGCTCACAGGGATCACGATGGTCATTGTCTCTCAGATGACCGAGCAGGAACTGGAAGGGAGGTGCCCATGAATGGTGGGAAGGCTGAGTGGTCAGCACCCCAGGGGCATGGGGAGCACTGGGGTCATGGGGAAGGACTTCTCTGTGTGGAACTGCATCACCAACTCCCTGTGGTGGCCTGGAGAACAGCAGAAGGTCAGAAGAGGAGCTGCATTATAGACACTGTCCCCCCTTGAGCTGGTCTGACATCATATCCAGCACAGGCCAGGACATTTTGTGTTCCTGTATGAAGCCCAAGGACTGGCAGTTCAGCCAAAATACCTTCTTTTGAAAAGCATCCAATCTAGATTCAGACAGATTTCAGATCACAGAGGTACAGGCACATCCCATAGGTAAGTAGTTGCAATAGTTAATTATCTTCACCATTAAATACTGGCAGCTCATTTCTGGTTCATCAGATTGACTCTCTCCTATGTCTTTCTCACCTCCTTCACGGGCCAAGGTGGAAGTATTAGGAACCAGGGTGCCATTTGTATGGCAAAATGACTGCACTGGTTTGTGTGCAGCCAGCAGATCTGCACCTCAAGGAGATTATGCAGCTGTATGAGACAGCTCATTTGTTTTTCTATCCCAAAATCACAGCTTTAGCTGATGTTGGATTGTGGATTACATTCCACTTAGCAATAGGTAAAAAGCCCCATGACCAGCTGCTGTTCCTGCCCTTTGGCTGTCTGGCCTTTAGGCTCCTGAGCTTACAGACTTTCAAATTGTTTAGCCCTACACAGGTTAGGAAGGTCCCAGAACCGAGTATGGCCCAGACTGGTGCAAAAGTCTGGGATGCAAACCAAAACCACTGCCTTTCCTACTTCCACTGCTGTTGGGATAAGCTGACTCACAAAAAACCTTGTTGAAGTTAAAAGGCTCAATTTGACCACTATTATCTCAGTTAAGAGCCATTTGACCAGAAGCATCCCACTTTTGTCTCTCTGTCCCAAGTGGTCCCTAACCACTTCACAACAGACTGGTAATAAAAGGGAAGCTGCTGTGTAACTTTAGAGACACCACAACAGACAACAACTGTTACTTTGGACTTACACAGCACTTTTACAGATACAAAACCCATTTCTAACCTATGAGGTAAGACTTTTAAATTTCCTGTATTCCACCTAGACAGTCAGCCTTGCCTCTTTCCAGCATTAGGATGCATTTATCAGCATGCTGAAACCAAAATGAAAGCACTGGGACCAAGGTCCTGCTTCTGCATTGCTTTCTCCTGACAAACCTAAAATCTGATGTGGTCATGGGTAAGTATTTCTAATTCCCCTTGGATGCTGTAATGTTTGTGTAAAAGAAGCTGACAGCATCCAAATGAAGACAGAAAAGGCTTCCAAGAACACAGACAACACTTTTTCCTGCCTCCTCTCCCTCCCACCCCGATCTTCACAGCATACAAGTGTTTTCCCTGGGATTATTTTAGGCACCAGAGCTGTCTATTACATACTGGAATGTATGGAACCACAAAACATGCTGCTAATTAGAAGGAAGGCATTTGCTTATCCTTAGGACTTTGTTTATATAAAAGCCTGCACAGCAATGGATTTGTGAGCAACTGACATTCTATTCATGTGCTGTATGGGTTCAGATGAGAGACACACAGGATTAAATTGGGAGGGGGTTTGAATAATGTCTTTGTATTAGAAGTAAAACTGACTGGCTGATAGACTGTTTGAGACAACTCTCAGCTGAAAAAGAAACAAAAGCAGTGGCCAGTTTTGGTTTCAGATTGTGATACAACATGGCATTTATAAAAGAAAAGCCGTGGATTACATAGAAAGAACTGCCCTTGCAGTAACAAGGAGCTTACTTTAAACAAAAACAACACTCTTTCAGGAACAATCATGTTCATTAGAACATCAAAATTATAGTGTATCACTGCACCTTTCACACAGGTCTGGGGAGGGACTCTTGCCAGATGCCAGGTACATCAGTATTTGCCTGCTAGCAGAATGAGGTTATTTTAGCACAGAGTACAGAAATATCAGCCCAAGTTGCAGCGTTCACACTTCTTCCCATCCTGCCCTGTCTCCCTATCCATGTCTCCATAATGACACTGCCTTCCTCCACCTCCTTCCCTCAGCAGCAAAAAGAAAGAACTGACAGCCATCCCAGAAATCTTTCAAGAGCCAGGGAGGAGGAGAAAGGGGACTTCACACCAAAAATGCACTAGTAGGGCAAAGAGGAGGAACAGCTATGCCACAAAAACATCTCCAGGCAAGAGACAGAAGCCAGAGACTGGGTCAGTAAAACTTGTCCAGACAAGGCAAGTTTCTGTACTAGCAGCAGCTGGACTAGTTGATGAAGCCAATCTTTTTGCCTTTTAAATTTCTCTCTGCTTAGGAACTTGCTCAGCTCTGCTATCAGCCCACTTCCACAGCACACGTCAGAGAACAGAAATAGCGACGCTCGCGCCACATCTCGTTAGGTGCCTTTGCAGCAATGTTATTTTTATTTAACCCTTTTCACTGGCAGGTCACTCTCCTGGCCAAAGGAGACAAGGAGGAACCAAGGGCTGTGGAATGCCAGGACATGATGCTGCTAAAACACACCCCCAGTGCTGCTTCCATAGTACATGGCAGGACAGAGAGGTTAACAAAGACCCTTTTAAACACACCATCATCCGAGCATGCAATTATCCAAATGCTTTCAAGTGAACATTAAAACAAAACTATAAATGCC